TATAAAGAACAAGTATATGGCATGAGTTGTATTCCAAGAGTGTTTTTGCTTGTAATGGTGGATCTTGTGAGTGAAACGTGGGTTAGGTAGGAGTACTTGGCCAGCAATGTTTGTGAATATCATGTGTATTTTATGTAGTTTGAGGAATATCAGATGGGTACATAAAGTTGAGGGTACAATCTATGAGTATGAAATTCTGCACATAACCACAATCTTTAAAAATGAAAAAACCTTATCAAACGGATGAATTTTGAACTAAAATTTTTACAGTTGATTAATTACATATTGAATTGCATTTCAAAATTTTCTTATAATTTTTGGGACTCAAAATCTATATTAATTGGTGCATTCAAATCTGTCCAGAAAAGTAGTGTTACACAGTAATTTCGGAAGTGTTGTTCTCTTTGGGTATAAATCCGAAAATATCAAATCAGCATCATTAGAACTGGTTACAAGTCTAATTTCTTATATTTTTGGCCTTGCATTGATTGCTATTCTATACTAAGAGAATCGTCAATTTCTTTAAAGAGGTGCAGAAAATAATCTGTTTGGGTATAATTAATTGTAAGTAGTTATTTTGACAAGCAAATCAAGTAAAACCAATTGGGTTTTAAACTTAGTCCCCCAACTGGACCAACCACTTGGCTTTGAGCTTGTTTGTCCAGTTCCCGAAGTTTAGTTTTCTGTCAACCCCCCATTCCTTACCAAAGTCATCATTTTGACTGAACTTCCAGGAATTGGATATGCTTTCTTTCTTCTTTCCTGATGGAGATTGAAATTCTTTACGTAGAGGATCCCTATTTGACGAGCCCCAGTTAAGGGAAGCTTTTCACCGAGCTACCTATTTTGTTTTATGTGTTGTTGAAGGCGGTAGTTCGTTTGTCTGAACTTTATTAGTCCCCCAACTGAACCAACCACTTGGCTTTGAACTTTATTAGTCCCCTAACTGGACCAACCACTTGAAGTCAATAAAAATATTTTTTTTTTTTGAATAAAATGGAGTCAAAATTATTATTATTTTTTGAATAATTTCATTTAGTAGAGATTAGTTTCATGAAATTTAACTTAGGAAAAAACGTTAATCTTTCCATACACTTAGTATTTTTAATTGAAATTCATATTATGAAATTCATATTTGTCATTTTTTTGAAAGATAAAATTGACTTTAACCCCATTTGCTTTACTCTATGTGTGATTTACCTCTGATATTTGAAAATAAGAACATAACCCCCTTATGACCTAGCACATGTTTCACACTTGATGTTAACTTGGATTGAACGTCAGACGGTATACTTCATTTAGTCCACAACCCACAAGAACATTATATTTATTTCCAAATTATATGGATAGTTTGCACATGCACATTGAAGTGAAATTTGCCCTTTATTAAATATGCACAATGTCTTGAATTGAATAAATACACCTAGAGGGTAAAATAGTATTGTAAAATAAATCAGGTGACAAATACTATTTCTCATATAGTATAATAGACGGCAGATTCAAGTATACAACCCCACCTTGATATTACTAAGTGAAATACTGAATAAAGGTGTATATATATCTAGTACTATTATAAAGAGAAGTCTTCTCTGGGTGTTTATGTCTCATATTTTGGGTTTTTCAAAAATACCCCTATATCAGTTATATGGGCAGTTATGCACTAAATTCAATTTTTTTTTTTTTTTCAAATCTCTCAACTTTTGAATTTTTCAAATTCATTTCAATTTTCAGATTTTGAATTCAATCATACAGTTTACAGTCTTATTTTCTGAAACAAAATGATCATATATATGTAAGTGTGTGGACCTTGAATTGAAATTGTCAGTCCACCTTAATTCTCAATTCATGAATTTCATAATATGAATTTCAATTCTCAATTCTCAATTAACAAGCAAAAAATAAGAAGCAAAATATGAATTTCATAATATGAATTTCAATTCTCAATTCTCATAATATGAATTAGGGTTTTGAATTAGGGTTTTGAATTCACAATATGAATTTCAATTCTCAATTCAATTCTCATTTCTCAATTTTCAATTCTCAATTCTTTTTATTAACAAGCAAAAAATATAATTTCCAATTCAAAATTCACAATTCAAAATTCAAAATTTCAAACCCTAATTTCAAAAAATATAGACAGGATTCATAATTCAAAATGCAAAAAATATAATCACGATTCAAAATTCAAAACCCTTATTTCTGAAACCACAAGCATAATTTCTGATTTCACAATTCAAAACCCTAACATTTTATGATTTCATAATTTCATAACCACACATTTAAAACCCTAACACATTTCATAATTCCCAACCCTAACACATTTAACCACACATTTCATAATTCAAAACCCTAACACATTTATGATTTCGTAACCCTAATTTCTAATTTCATAATTTATGATTTCACATTCAATTGAAAACCCTACAAAATTTTTACAATTCAAAACCACAACATTTTTTACCAATTCAAAACCACACATTCACATTTTCACAAACACAATAAACACATAAAATGCAAATGAGACAGAGAGAGATAGATACCATACCACGGACAGAGAGAGAGCAGAAACAGAGAGTGAGAGCAGAGAGATTCTGAGAGCAGAGGGAGAGCGAGAGCAAGAGTCTAAGAGCAGAGCAGAGCAGAGAGGAGAGCGAGAGCGAGAGTCTGAGAGCGAGAGTCGAAAAAAACGTAAGTGTAAAAAACGTGATTGCAAATAAGGGGGACTTGGGGGTTTTATATAAGTTGTAAAAGCGTGGTTTCAATCCACACTTTCATTTATTTACAGTGAAAGCGTGATTGTGAATCACGTTTTCTTAACAAAACAAATATGCACAGTGAAAGCGTGATTTCGAATCACGTTTTCTTAAGAAAACAATATGCACAGTAAAAGCGTGGTTTAAAACCACGTTTTTTTTAGAAAACAAATTTATCTTAAAAGCATGGTTTGTAATAGCGCTTTCACTATTCATCAAATTTTCTGCTCCAAACAGTGAAAGCGTGATTTGTAATAGCGCTTTAGCTTAGTTTGGGAATTTCGTCCAAACTAGGCCTAGTTTGGGAATTAAGATAGTAATTTGGCTTAATATGGGAAAAGCCTCTAATTGGGGATCAAATTTTTATACATACGATATACGAAAAGCGGGAAATTTTGGCGAAAATTTTGGGGCAAATGAATTGTGTATGTTTGGTTTAGATTTGTAGAGTGATTTTGGGAAAAAAAAAATTTAAAAATTTGTTTGGTTTGTAAATTTTTCAAAACAATTTCTAAAATCACTTTCTCTTTCTTACCTATCAATCAATCACTTTTTCTCTCTCCTCTCTCATTCTCAATTACTTTTTCTCTCACACACATCTACTCAATTATAACAAAATATCAAATCATTCCAAACTCCCAAACTCCAAAACTACTTTCAAAATACACAACCAAACAAACCAAAAAAATTTCTAAACTCTCTCCCCAAAACAATTTTTAAAAACTACTCTTCCAAAACCAAACGAAGCATACCCTTTATTTCTGTTAATGATTTGTATTTAGGATCAAATTTCAATTTTTTTTTTAGTTAATTGAAAAAAAAATATATATATATATATATAGATTCGGTTAATTTAAGTACATTTAAAAAGTATAAAAATGTTATTATTATTCTTTTTTAAATTCATTGAATACAGGAAAAATATGGAGAGAAAAAAAAGAAGATGATTTCAATACATTTTTGTATTTTGTTGTGTTCAATAAAAAATTTATAAAATTATGGATCTACAATATAATAAATAAGACATCCATTAAAATGTTAGAAAATTTAACTAAAATCAAAAAAAAATTGTGGATTTAAAACTCAGTAAAATTCTTTTTTCAAATTCCAAATCATACCGAGTAAATTATAAATAAAACTAAAGCGACATAGGTTTAAAAGATATTTGTGATCAATTTTTTGTTTCATATATCGTAGTAAAAAAAAAATTGAGTTATATGAGAAAAAAAAAATGGTCAAAAAAATTGGGGAAGAGAAAAAAATTCCCGACTGCTATTCAAATGGTCAAAAAAAAAAAAAATTGAGCTCACAAACTCATTTTTCTATTAGTGATTACATAAATAAAATAAAAAATAATAATCTCGTGTAGAGAATAAGAATTTGACTTATATGAGTAAGTATAGACAAAACCCAAGAAACGGGAAAACTATAATGTCAAGACCAAAACTAGATTGGTCAACAAAGCACAATGATGTGGATCACAGTGATTAGGCATGAAAAGTACAATCCAATCGATCTTCAATAAATAACTTATAACAAAGGATCATCCATCCAATGAAAAAAATATACCCGACGGCTTATAATGACTGCAAGTTGAGCATTATGTGGCTATAAAATGATGATCCAGCAACACTACATGTACACACACAAGAGAAGGGAACAACGAAGGGAAGACAAAGAGAGAGGGAATTGAATTGTATTAATACTAAATTTTCCTAATCTTCAAGTTATTCTTCATCCAATAACTTCTCCGTCCCTATCACTGCAATTACACCACAAGTACTGTAAGAATCCAAAAGCAAGGAAAGCATATTGTCATGTCTCAGATCTGAACAATAGTTTACCATCATGACCAGTCGTCAAGATAAGAGTCCAATGATATATCAACTCACAATCAGAGGTCATAAATAAACACTCACCCGTTTGCAATACCCAAAGGCACATCATCAGACCTGCATTTACCATGCTCAATGTATCACATACATTTATGCCGTATTTAATTGGAAATTTGGAAAGAGATTTAGAAATGGAAAGGGATACAACGAGTGAAACTGGATGAAATATAAGTATATTTTATTCACATTTGACCTACCTTTTTCCTTTTACTTTCCAAATCTCTTCCTAAATCCTCAAACCAAACATAGCGTTAGTAAGATTTTAAAGGTTCAGATTATATTCATCAATGGACTTGCAACTCTTCAGTGTTCATCTCTCTTAGTCATGTTGAGCATTAAGCACTATCATAACTGACGTAAAACAACATTCATTTATTGCGAATGAAGAAGAGACCAGAAGAACAGTGCATTTAGTTTTTATACAAGCCAAAGGAATCATTTCACAATATTCAATCGAAATTTCTGGCATTTATCTGCGAGCACCGCAAAAGCCTTAACAAGCTCTTCCTTAACCATAAAAAGTACTGAGGCTGCAAAAACACTCTGTACTATCTTTGTGCTCATCCCCTTGTAAAAGCTGGACAACCCTTCAAAACGGATCATCTTCATAATTGCATCAAAAGTACCTGTATTGCAAGGAACTCAATTACTATTTTGACAGCCATAAGATAATATTACTTCACTTTCTTTTGAACAAACAGAACTGAATATAGAAAGTCCAAAACAACGTAGGAGAATCCATTTGCAAGGATAAGGTTCGTCGATGTTCTGTATTTCACTGGGCAAGGATAAGCTCATTTTTATCAAATTGGTAAGGACAGAAAAAGACTAGAAGATGCGGATTGCACGAGAAAAAGTACACTAAAATAAGCATTATTAATGTCACTGCAAAGCATGCAGATGGAACTGCAAGAAGAGCAAATCAGAAAATGAATAGAAGATAACTCGACAAACAAAAGAATACTAAAGAGTGGCACTACCACCATCAGGATATGTTCAATCATCCTTCATCTATAAATAAATGCTCTGTTCGAAAGAGAAATAAAGAAGTCTGAAAAGCATCATTTCCACCATTCCATTTACGTGTTCACCATTAATGCACAAATTCTTATAACAACACTCCTCTACATACATCCATGCACTTTTAGTAAAACTTCTTTTGTATGAACTGATCTTCCAGGGCTTTCAAACAATCAGAGTTGAATGAAAAATAAGGATGTGGAGAAATTCTAAAATCTAATGAAAAGCACTTCAACATTTCTTTTATCTAATGTAAATGATTATTATTTGATAGAATGAAAATGATGCTATGCATTAGCATATAAAAAAACAAACCTGAATATCTTAGCATGTTTCCACCAATTTCCTGCTTTGCTTGAAGCCTGGACTGCACGGTTATCCAAGACAACATAATCAACAGAACAAAAAAGAGAGTGCATTTTGTCTTATGTAAACTGAAATACGCACTAAGAAAAGACATAATTCACACTTTTTGGGGTTATCTATCCAAAGCTCCAACCACCACCTCATCAAATATCAGGGTTAAAGTACAACGCCTCCTCGCTCTCTCAATTTAAACTTAATCTTCAATGCCTATTCAATGAACCAATAGTTGGTTGAATGTTAATCGAGAGGTCACCCTGTTAATTTGGGGAAAAGGGTTGATCAATGAATGACGCTCAGGTTGTCAAATCATAGTCATTTCCAAAATGCAAATTGTGTTTTTGGAGACGAGAGAACGAGTCCAGGAGTCAAAAAGGGATTTTTCTTTTATTAAGGTGATGCAGAGCGTATGCAGGGGTTCTTTTTGCTAGCAATATAACATCATAAGAAAACCAGATTCTGATTTTCATTTCTTATTAATGTTTTTCTTTATTAGTCAGTCCTTTGACTTTTGGATAAGGGTAATTTGCCCAGAGTACTATTTTAACAGGTCCTATGATTTTTAAGCGAGTCATATGACTGATTAGAGGTAGAGTGTCTGCTTCAATCACTTCTATTTTGCTAGACAGATTAATAGCCCAAATATTGTAGTTAAATAAAGGGCAGAGATTATGCTTTTGTTCCAACCTGTAATTAGCAACTTTGGATAAATCATTAGTTATTTATGCAATCAGAGACTGCTACAGCAGCTTATTGAGATGTTGGTATTTAAGGTTAATTTCAGATTAATCTTGGTCTTTGTTTTCCCTTCTTACTGTTTTAATTTTATTTTCATGAGTTGATTGTATTTTAAAGTATCTTAAAAACAAGATAGATTGATATAGAGATTAGGTCTTGTTAAAACCTATCACCTACTTCACCCACTAAACCTAACCCACTACACCACTACCACCTCACCTACTCCACTAAACCCACTACACCACTACCACCTCCACTTCACCTACTCCACCTACCACCTCCACTTTACCTACTCCATACCTACTACACACTCACCTATTCTCTTCCCACATCCTCTCTTCTATATATAGGAATCATTGTAATATATCAATATAACATATAAATCAATAATACAATCATTTCTCTTTATACATTAAATTTCTACAGGTCTCAATTGGTAGCAAGAGGGCTGATCTTTACCTTTTATATACTGACCTATAGAGTGTTCCTTTCATCCAAAATATAAGCTCAACTAAATTGGGTGAGCTCGCAGGGAATAAGCAGGGCTCTTTTAGTCTGACTAATAGTTAAAACGATGACATCAGAAAATAGGCCATCTTTCCTTTCTTTACTTTAGTCCAGAGTTGTTTCCTTATTTCCTTTGGAAAGGCATTTGGTATGTTGGGTGTCCATCCAAGATTTGCTTTCTTTGTGTGAAATGCAGCACATGAGAAGATTCTCATGATTGATAATCTTTTCTTTTGTTTTTTATGACGAGGAAATATAAAAGGCAAGGAAACATTGAACCTACCCCTGCAAAGTAAACCCTGGATACCTACAATCAACCGCAAGCCATGATTGATAATCTTATTAGATGATGGTAGACTTTGTAAATTGGTGTTGTATGTGTAGATGCAATGAGGAAGTGGTGGATCAGCTTCTCATTCATCACAAGATGTCTAGTGAATTCAAGTGTGTGTGTCCGGGTGTTTGGGGGGCGTTGTAGGGGCATTATTTGGAATGGATTGAGCCTTTCATAGGGATGTGGTGAGAGTTATGTTTGGATGGCGATGAAAGAGTAGGGAAGCAGAGACGGAAGGTCTGCCTGCTAGCTCCTCTGTGATTGATGTGGTTTCTTTGGAGGGAGTGAAACAAAAGGACCAAAGTCTCTCCCAAGCTCTATCATTTTGTTGATTTTGTAGAATATCTTCAACTGTAAGAATCTGTAATTCTTTTTATCATTTGATTGTATAGGCCTCTTTTGCTTCTTTGTGTTATAATGATCTAACCTTTTGAACATGGAAGGCATCCCCTCTTTTTACAATATATGTTCTACTTATCCAAAAGGAAAAGAAAAAAAAGTTTTGGGGCACTGCTCATAACAGCACTTACAGGGGAATTGAAGCCAGGTTATGTGTTGGCAGTTTTGCAAAGTTGGGCTACGGGTAGGGTTGGAAGGAGGCGCCGGAAAGCTTGGATGATTGCTTCCCACTGGTAAACGTAGCTTATTTGGTTGGAGCGTAAGAGGCGCGTCTTCCAAGGGGTATCTCATTCGATCCCTTGGCGAGAGAGGTGGTTGTGTAATTTAAAAGAATACAAAGCTTGAGTGATGATTATGATATCATCACCTTTTATATTAATCAATCAACTATTACAAAAGGAAGCCCTAAGGCACTGATTAAGGAATCACCTTTTATATTGATTGACTGATTAACTGATTAAGGAATCACAATCAATCAATCACAATCTAATCTAAATAAGGAAACAAGGAAATAATCAATCACAATCTAATCTAAATAAGGAAACAAGGAAATATTCTAATACTCTCCCTCAAACTAGTACGAAAATATCTCGCGTGCCTAGCTTGCCTAGAATGTCATGAAATGGTTTACTCCCAACTCTCTTGGTGAGGATGTCTTCAAGTTGTTTGCCTGAATTCACAAAAGGAGTACATGTCATGCCGCTAGTGAGCTTCTCCTTGATGAAGTGGCGATCAATCTCAACATGCTTTGTCCTGTCATGTTGAACAGAATTGTGAGTCATGTTGATGGCAGCCTTATTATCACAATATAACCGCATAGAGTTTGTCTAGCCCATCCCCAGATCACTCAACAACAGTTTGATCCACAAGAATTCACACACACCTTGTGCCATAACTCTAAACTCAGTTTTTGCACCCGATCTAGCCACCAATTTTGTTTCTTACTCCTCCAAGTAACAAAGTTGCCGCCCACAAAGGTACAATATCCTGATGTAGATCTCCTATCAGTTATTGATGCTGCCCAATCAGCATCTGTTTAGGCTTCCACTCTAAGGTGATCATGTTTGGAAAAATAAAGGCCCTCTCTAGGAGAAGATTTCAAGTACCTCAGAATTCTCATAACAGCTTCTAAGTGAATTTGATGAGGAACATGCATAAACTGGCTAACCATACTGACAGCAATAGCAATATCAGGACGAGAGTGAGATAAGTAAATAAGCTTACCCACTAGTCGCTGATAACTCTCCCTATCAACAACTGCTCCTCCTTCATCATCACCAAGTTTCTAATTAGGTTCCAGTGGGGTATCACAGGCCTCACATCTAAGCATCCATATTTCCTTCAAAAGGTCAAGAACATATTTCCTTTGTGAGATGAAAATCCCATCCTTGGAGCGAGCAACTTTGATTCCCAAAAGACATTTCAAGTTCCCCAAGTCTTTGATTTCAAACTCACTAGCTAAATATTTCTTCAACAGATATTTCCACACTATCATCACCTGTAAGCACTATGTCATCCACATAAACAATGAAAACTGTAGTCTTACCACATGAGGAATGTTTTATAAAGAAAGTGTGATTAGCCTGACTCTATTTGAAACCATATTTAAGCATAGCCTGAGTGAATCTGTCAAACCAAGCCCTTGGAGACTGTTTGAGACCATATAATGACTTCCAAAGCCTGCATACTTTACCTTATGTCTAATGATTCTCCAAATCAGGAGGAATGTTCATATATACCTCTTATTCTAGACCACTATGTAAGAAAGCATTTTTTACATCAAACTGATGAAGTAGCTAATCTAAATTAGATACTAGAGAGAGAAGTATTCTGACTGAATTCATCTTAGTCAATGGTGCAAAAGTCTCCTAATAGTCTACTTCATAAGTCTAAGTAAAGCCTTTTGCCACAAGTCGAGCTTTATAACGCTCAATGGAACCATCTACTTTGTGCTTCACAGTATACATCCATTTGCATCTCATCGGTCGTTTGTCCTTAACTAACTCAGTTAATTTCCAAGTGTCATTCTTACGAAGTGCTTTCATTTCCTCAATCATGGCAAGTTTCTATTTAGAGGTAGCGAGAACATCCTGAAAATGGTTAGGAGAGGAAATGTTTGACACAAAGGCTCTATAATAGGGAGATAAATGAGAGTAGGACACAAAGTTTGAGATAGGACGTTGAGTACAAGATCTCACACCCTTTCTCTTGGCAATAGGAATATCAAAATCAATAGTGTCAGGAATAGCAACATCAGTAGACTCAAGAGAAACAAGAGGTTCAAAGTTACCTGTACTCTTATCGAAAGCAGGAGATGGCAGTGGATGAGCAAAAGTGGTCTCTTGTATCCAAGTAACTTTCTGTCTGTCTTTGTCCTTAACATAAACTTGACATTCCTTATCCTTGGTGGCATTCCATTCTATAGTCCCAGTAATAGGTGGTGCGGGAACAACTAGTTCTACCATAGGAGCAATAGGGACAATAGGAATCTCTTCACACCAAGGCTCCCCCTAAAGAGATGGCTGTGACACCAGAGAAGACAAGAAGTAGGACTGGGACTCAAAGAAGGTGACATCCATAGACACAAACCACTTACGAGAAGAAGGGTGATAACACTTATACCCCTCTTGAGTAGGTGAGTATCCCGAGGAAAACACACTTGAGAGAGCAAGGGTCCAACTTACCATGAGTTGGAGAATGAATGTGGACAAAACAGACACAACCAAATATTTTAGAGGGAATAAAAAACAAAGACTTTGAACCAAGAAAGACTTGAAGTGAAGCTTGTTTTTGTAAAACCTAGGTAGGAAAACAATTGATGAGATAGGCTGTAGTGAGAACTGCCTCGGCCCAGTAGGATCGAGGCACACTCATAGAAAAACACATGCAGCGAGCCAAATCAAGAAGATGACGATTCTTGCGTTCTGCAACCCTATTTTGTTGAGGGGTGCAAGATGTCTGATGTATAATTCCATGAATGGAAAAATAACTCTCTAACCCCGATTCACCCCCATTATCAGAACAAAAGATTTTGACAATTGTCCCAAATTGAGTACTGTAGAAATTTAATGTATAAAGAGAAATAGAGAATTGTATTATTGATTGATATAATGTTTATTGATTTAATTACAATGATTCATGATTGCCAATATATAGAAGAGGGTGAGTGTGTAGTAGAAAGGCAGTAGGTGAAGTGGAGGTGCGTAATGGTGTAGTGGGTTAGTTTAGTGGAGTAGGTGAAGGGTGTAGTAAGAGGTGAGTGTGTAGTAAGGTAAGGAGTAGGTGAAGTGGAGTGGTAGTGGTTATGGAGGTTTTAGTGGAGTAGGTGAGGTGGTATGGTTAGTGGGTAGGTTTAGTGGAAGTAGGTTAAGTGGGTGAAGTAGGTGATAGGTTTTAACAGCCCCCGCAAACTCAAGGAGGATAGGAACTAACCAACTTGAGTTTTGGAAGAGTTACGAAAACAAGAAAATACATAAAAATTAAAGAGATATAGAGACACGGGTTGGTCGTGTCAGACCATTGGTGAAGACAACTGGATGGTGGTGTCAAAACGTTGTAGAGGACACTGATTGGGGGTTCAAACCATGAGAGGACACTGTATTGTAGGTGTCATAACGGTGATAGAGGACCTGTGCGGCGTCAGACCGATGTAGAAACAGTTTATGGGGCATGTCGGGACCGTTGTAGCAGACACTGTGTGGTCGTGGTCAGTACCGGATTGTAGAAGACAGTTTATGGGCGTCATGTCGGACCGAGTAGAAGACAGTTTACGGGGTCATGTCGACCGTTTGTAAACAGACACTGTTGTGACAGTTGTTGTGACAGTTTACGGAGCTTGCTGGACCCTTTGTAGAAACTAACCGGAATCAATGTCGGGACAGTTTACAGAAGTCTTGTCGGACCCATAAAGGAGCTAACCGGAATCAATGTCGGGACCAGTTACAGAGTCTTGTTGACCCATAAAGGAGCTAACCGAATCAATGTCGAGACAGTTTTACAGAGTCTTGTCGACCCATTGAAGGAGCTAACCGGAATCAATGTCGGGACAGTTTACAGAGTCTTTCGGATCCCTAAAAAGTCGCACCCTCAAAAGGGTGCCCAATCTTTCATAGGGCGTGCCATCAAAAGGCGTGCCCAACTATAAAAAAGACGTGCCATCAAAAATGCGGCCCAATCCATAAAAAAGACGTGCCATCAAAAAAAGTTGCCGCCCTCAAAAGGCGCGCCCATTTCAATAAAAAGTCGTGCCCGACAGAAAAGCGTCGAAGCCATCAAAAGGTGAGCCGGAGACGCAGCGAGGCACTGTGAGCCGACAGAGTGGCGTGGTCGGCCGCTCGTCAGTGCGATATAAACCAATGCGAGGCTCTTCTTGGCAGAAGCGAAGACAAAAAAACCTGGAAAAAACTCTGAAAAAACCTTACATTTTCTGGAGAGATATTCGTTTTTCTTGAGAGATGCCTCTAAGAGCTGCAAAGACTTGAAACACTCCCCTTCCGAACATTATCAGTCTGAAATTGCTGATTTCGCTGAAACACTCAGCAACCCAAAAAAACATTGACCTCTTCTTCCCATTCAGCTACCCAGAAGTATGGCCTCTTCATCCCGTGGTCTACTCACTTCTCTTTCCCGACCTCAACGATCAGACAAGAGAGAAACTGGTGCGGAGCCCAGTGAACCTCAACCAAACACCTCTGGTTTGCTCCGTTAACTTTCCGATCGGTCGGTGGAGCAAAGAATGGCCAGTGCAGTCGGATGTGGTTGTTCTGTTTTTTTTTTTTTTTGTTTTTTTTTTTGGTTGTAAAATTGTGATCGGGTGATCCCTTTGATATGAAGAAAATGAGTTTGGTGTGCAGTTTCGGCTTCGTCCGTTTTTTTTGTTTTTTTTTTTGTGTAAAAATAAAAAATAAAAGGAAAGAAGAACAAGAGATAAAGAAAAGTAGATAAAAAGAATTGCGTAAGGTTATATGAAAAAACATCAGTGTGGAAATGAAATAAAATAAAAATAAAGAGTTGAAAAAAGCAGAGGTGGGCTGAATAATAATAAAAATAAAAAGAAATGAAAAGAGGGGACAAAAGTGCGTGTCTGGTGTGATGCATAAAGAAATAAGAAAAGGAGAGCGAGTGGTCTAGTGTGTCTTTACTTTCAAAACTCAAAGCTCCCGAAAAAAAAAAAAGAGAGAGTCAGTGAAATAAGAGAGAGAGAGGTTCGTAGCCCCCTCTGCATTTGTGCTGGGTTTTGCGATGAGAGAGAGAAGAGAGAAAAATCAGTTTGTTACTTTGACACAAGATGTGATTGCTAATGCTCAGGCTTAGCTTCCAGATCCATTTTTGGGAAATATGTCTCTTCTTGTTTTCGATGTTGCAACCAGTAGACAGAAATCACTATATCACTTGCCAAACCAGCGCATGCTGCTTTCCCAATCAGCTGAGAGGGCTGCCACACTGAAGGCAAGGCTGGAAAAGGGTATGGAGCTACAAGTATATCCCTGACTGACGAACAGGTTTAAAGAAGCAAATGTCTCAAGAGCATTGAAACTTTGTTTCTAAAGGGGCGAGCTTTCTTAAACGCACCCAGGAAAGGAGCACTCCACTTGGAAGCAAGTTTCTATCAACATAAATTCAAATTGGACAGGTGGGCAGCTAAAATGAAAAGAAGCACATGGGCAGGAACAGTTCACAAGAAAACAAGTGTGCCGTGTCGTCACCTATTGTCAATGGTTCAGAATGTGTAGAAAAGAAACGCGAATAGATTAAGTCCGGCGACGGCTAAGGGTTTGAGGTTGCCGCCCGCCGTGAGCGAAAATATTAGGTTCAAACCTGCTCTGATACCATGTAGAAAATTTAATGGTATAAAGAGAAATAGGAGAATTGTATTATTATTGATATAATGTTTATTGATTTATTACCAATGATTCATGATTCCTATATATAAAGAGGGTTGAGTGTGTAGTAGTAAGGAGTAGGTGAAGTGAGGTGGTAAGTAGGTGTAGTGAGTTAGGATTTAGGGAGTAGGTGAGGGTGAGTAGAGGGTGAGTGTGTCAGTAGGTAAGGAGATAGGTGAAGTGGAGGTGGTAGTGGTGTAGTGGTAAGGTTTAGTGGAGTTAGGTGAAGTGGTAGTGGTTAGTGGGTTAGTTAGTGATAGGTTTAAGTGGTGAAGTAGGTGATAGGTTTTAACAAGTACAAATCATTTTATTGAAAATTTTGAAACACAGAGAAAACCTCACTTTTTTCTTCATTTGCAGATACCCCAAATAGTTACGCAGAAAAATCCGAAAGTAAAAACAAACTATCTATGGCTTTTAAAGACATAACACGAGATTAAACCCCACACATTCATAAATGTTCTTATAGAAAAATAAACTAAACTTTATTAAACTTGGAGCAAAAAAAGCTTCCGGTGTTGTTTAGCCGATTGAACAAGACTCACAAAGAAACTCAGACACATTATATTGTAAAACATAGTGGAAATAAATGGCGCTAAGAAATGAAAAAGAAGGATATCCAAGATGCGATTCCACAACCATAAATCCTCCCTAGTGGTTGGGAACTGGATGGAATGAGTGAGCAAGCTTGTCGCTGATCCAAGAAACAGAGACCATTTTTCTGCCACTACCACTGCCAATCGTCTCCTGTGAACAAGGTCATAATAAAACAATGATCAGGAAAAAAGTCAACATACAGTTCAAATCCTTGATTAATACGACTCAAGTATAGAAGATTAACAAAAAAATGGAACGTAGGCACTAAAGACAAGAGTAAGTAGAGTGACATGAATTATACTTTCCCAGGAGATAATAAGCAACAACACCAATCTCCAATCCTAATTTATCTTGAACCTGAAGAGTTATATACCAAGAAAAGGTTAGAAGACCACACATATGATTTGAGGCCACCAAGAATTTAATAATCCATGCAAAGACTTGTGGGAAAGAAAAACACAGGAGAAGAGGCTAAGTTACCTGAGCGACAAACGACGATGAAGATGCCACTTAGGATCAGTAGAAGACCGGCGGCCCACAAATGCACGTAGAACATTCTCAAGCTCAGAGAAGTTCATACTAGATAAACTATTAGAAGTCGGACAAACTGAAGCAGAAGTAGAATCAAGCGGTGTCAACGGCATAGACTGATTGAGGCCGCGTGGATTAGAAGCCGCATCCTCTTAGGACTAAGCCTGAGTCGACCGCCTATAGTACCAGACTGATTCACCCCGACTCCCCTGGATGGAGCCCCAGAAGCTTCCAACGGTTTCTCGACGGAGTATGCCGTGCTTGCGGTAGTAATCACAGAACACAGTATCTTTCCCTCAATGATGGGAAAAGGCTAGTGACAAACCAGCCTATCTCGAGGAGCAAAAAGTAATGCTGAATGTCCTCTCTATATTATATCCTGTATCTAATATTTAGCAGAACAACGACTCCTCTCTCTATCTTACATATGCAAAATCTCTATTATTATGAGAACATCCATGCCAAGGACACGACTCCATCTCTATCATAACTTCCTACAGTTGAGGCCTTCTAAAAATCTGTATAGGCTCCTCTTCTGGCAAGAGAAGCATCGGTGGTAACCAATCTATGTCAACATACAGACAGGCTTGTATATCTCTATATTAAGTTTTTATCTAGGCATTTCCATACCATTCAGTGAAATGTGATACTTTATATATCTATTTCTGCTCCCCTTGTTATTGAGCGCTCAATAGACTGGCGCAAGGCTCAAAAAGACTGATATATATCTCTTTTTATCGAGAATACGTAGGCAGCGATTGCTTCCCATCTACTTAGGCTATGATTATTCTCATATAATATGCTCTTCTTGTACTAATCTCAAGGAACCATGGAATGATATATTGTGTCCACCCCTTATATTAAAGAGTTGGTAATCTCTCATTGTGTCACTATATCATTACCTAATACCTGGTGCTTTGAACTCTCCCATTATATCATGTGATTCCATCGTTTCTTCTCTGCTCTTTTAAGAAAAAGTGTCAGACTATCTTAAGACCATGTATATATATAT